GAAAAGTGCTAGTCATACTTCAATAATAACAGCTCTTAAGTTTACTTGTTGTTCTTCTCTGTCTGTCAGCTATCAACAAAATTGTTTTATACTTCGGGCAGTGCATAACTATTTGTGGACCAGAGTTCCAACGCACCTCTGTAATCGCATATAGCTACTCCTGTCTCTTGTACAAATGTTTCTCCTTTGTAAGACGCACTCTACTCTGTTGTCAATACTGCTTTAAGTTCAGTGGAAACGACTGACTGAGGAATCGAGATGGCGGTGTTGGAACGTGTTGCTGAAAGCTTGCTACGGTCAAGCTTTGTAGATTTAGGTACTGGTACACTGGGATCATCTATGTATCTCTTACACTTCCGAATGTGGTATCCTTCTTTTATAAATTTGAGGGTAAAAGACGATTTGTAGTCGCATTCAAAACTGTGATTGGCTTGTGTTATTTCTCACCTTTGCCATTAACACAACTCAAGTGAGTTTCGAGTCTTTGTTTCCTCGACAACTTTCGGCCACAAATCGTGCATTTGTAATACGATCGATTCTTGTCGATTATTTCTACATAGAGTGAGCTCACATCTTTATTTATATCACCAAGCTATCCATCTTCTAGAGGCTGAGAACCGGTCGGAGAAGTCAGAATGTAGTTGGGCACTTCTCCTAACACTGCAATCGGCAAGCCAGCGGATTCACTTTGCTAGCCAATGACAAGTCCTAAAAGATCCACGTGATCATGCCCGTGATCGGAAACAAAGAAGACTCCATTTGGCGCTCATCTTTGAATGTACTTTTCATCGGTTGATCGCTTTTCTCAACTGTTTTGCTTAATATAACATTTCTAAAGATAGCTTTATTGTGGTTCAATGGGAAAACGAGAACAGCGTGAGTGTTGTAAAAGAGAAGAAAGTCGTTGGTGCCGTGGAGTTAAAAGAAGGGACAACAGTTGACATATGGACCGGTACAAACAAGGGTCGAGTGGCCATCTGTAAAGCTACGATTTTGAAAGTTTGTGGTGAGTAAAAATTGCGATATTCGTTGTGATCAAAATCTTATAAAAGAATAGATGTAGCGGGTTGAATTAAGCTTACATAACGCTCGGCGCAACTGAAACTAGAATAATTCTGAGAATCGAATCGGTCACTTGCATGCCGCAGTTTCTTAAGCTTATGCTTTACAATGAAATAAACCTATCAGTAAGGTTTCAAGATTCCTCTAGTCACGTTTGGGAACATTCAAGATTCATAACAAACCTTAGTACATAAAGAAGCCCTCCTTGGTAAAAACAAAATAATGTATTCAGCCCTTTTTTAGTAAAATCCATGAGAGAGATGTACTAACTCCATAACAGAGATTTCTCAATTTGAGAATCCAATGAATGCCCTTTTCCTCATAGCCATCTTAAAAGCCTGGTCTGAGCTTTAAACATATATATTTTAATATATTATTTTTTTTCAAATTCAGATGTCAAGGAATCCAGATACAAAATGGTCAAGGTTCTTGTTGACAACCTCATTCAAGGCCAACTCATTGTGAGCCCAGGAAAAAAATACAAACAGTACAAACAGCAGCTAAGTTTGCAGTTTAGGATAACTTCATTCTAATTTATTGTTACAGTTACAACAAGATTTTAATCAAAAAATCAATTTTATTTGTCTGTAATTAGCCCCTTCACTCCCAAGAATATAACTGTATAAATATAACTTAAGATATTGTATTTTATGGAAAAGAATCAACAGATTTTATTCACAATTTGTGTCAAACCAAATTTAATGATTGATTAGAACTATTTTATATGAATAGCTGTAATTGAGGATTAATCTGTATGAAGTTTTCAAGAAAAGAAAAATAAATCAAATTCCATCCTAATATTACCACACATTGATGTTAATAATTAATCAAAAATATTTTACATGTAAGCCTTAATTAAGCTTCTAAATAAATTTCATTAAATACTTGAATTTTAGCTGGGTTTTTTTAATTTTAAGTATTTATTTTATATCAGCCTCAAATTTTTGCTTAAAATTCCCAGTAATTCTTAAACATTCCTAAAAATTCCCAAAAATTCCCAGAAATTCCCAGAAATTCCTAGGAATTTTTTAGATTTACAGCTTTTCAGGGAAAGTCATTGGTTCTCTGAGTTGGAATTCCTAGGAATTCCTAGGAATTCCTAGGAATTCCAAGTCCTGTTGGCTATAAACTTGGAATTTCTGGGAATTTCTGGGAATTTCTGGGAATTTCTAGGAATTTCTAGGTTTTTAGAACCAGAGTTGTTATGGTTGGGAATTCCTAGGAATTCCTAGGAATTCCCAGTCCGAATTTACCGTGAAAATTCACACCTTTATTCCTAGGAATTCCTAGGAATTCCTAGGAATTCCTAGGAATAAATTCCTAGGAATTCCTAGGATTTTCCTAGGAATTCCTAGGAATTCCAAAAGCCATTTCGCAAGGGTACTGTTTGATATTTCATCATGAGTTACGTGCGTAAGTATAAAGATGTAAAAACTGTTGCTTTTTTTTACAACATTCCAAATCTTTTTACTTAAAATTCATGTTAAGCTACACTGTCTAACACTGGTGCATGCCTAAAATTTGTTCCTATTAATATTTTTGGTTGTTGTTGTTGTATTTTTCAATACTCATCTAGGTGATGGAGGTGGTGCTTTTCAAATTGATAACAATCAGGGAGTCATCAGAACTTGATCGTGAAACAATTCCCGAATATGAACTGACTATGGTTGCTGCCGACAAAGGCAGACCATCAATGAAGTCAACTGTGAAAGTCAAGATAACACTGGAAGATGTTTGTGACAGTAAACCAAAATTTGAAAAGGATCTGTATGTAGTGTTTCTTGATGAAGATGTGAGAATGCGTTCCAATGTGGTCACCGTGAAAGCAGTGTCCCAAGACCTTGTTCAAGATGGTGAGATTTTTTACAGCATTGTGTCTGGCAATGATCCATTAACATTTGTCATTCAGAAAAATGGTGTGATCGTGACCAAGAGATTGTTAGATTATGAAACAAACTCTGAGTATATACTTATAGAATCAAGGATAATTAAGTCGAAGAAATATGCAACTTCCCCTTACCGACATCCAGAAAGAGCTGCTTGTCACACACTGACTATACTGACAAATCCAACACCTACAGCTCATTAAGGGTGGTATTCCGCTCAGATGGAGTGCAAACTAATTACAGATGCCCCTGTGCTACTGACTATCGAGGAGAAAGTTGCGACACAGGTTTAAACTTGTGCTACTCCAATCCTTGTGGAAACAATGGGAAGTGTGTGTGTGTGTAGAGGAAGGCTACTCTTGTATATGCAATCCAGGAAGAGCTGGTGTAAACTGTGAGATTGACATGTCAAAGAGCAAGTGTCCTACAGACTCAAAAGTGACAGAAAATCATCTAAATGCAAATCCATGCCATAGTGATGGTGGTTGTAAAAATGTTCTTGGAAGCAGGTTCACCTGTCAGTGCAAAGATCTGAATGAAGTTGATGGGTCACTGTGCCAACTGAAAAAACGTGCAGTTTTGAAAAAGGATCATTTGTTGCCTTTCCTGGTAAGGATTTATTTGTAGTTACATGTACTATAATTCCTAGAATAAGCTCTTCTACTTTACTTTGGTAAGCACCCCTTCTAAAACTTGTCACTTCTGCATGACTGCATGGGCCACTTGATACTCAAGTGGACTTTACTCTTTTTTACTGAATTTGACTGAATTTCACACAGGATTGAAAATGGATGAAAAACTGACAGAATTAAGACACAATGAATTTTTGAATGTTGAGGTTTTTAAAGTTAAGTGCTGGTGTTGTGTAACAAATAGATTATTAATATGGGAGGTGACTTGAAATCAAACAAGTTAGTCACATAATTATACTATGTTAGGAGCAGTGTGTTCCAATCCAGGTGCTACTTCTACCTTGTGTTGGAGGATGGAATTTCAATTGTTGTGAGGCTTTTTGTGAGTTTAAGTGTATTGGTTTACTATCCTTCATGTAGCTCCTTCTAAAAGGTAATTTTATGTTAACCCTTTTCACCCAAACATCAGTACCCATATTCTCCATACTGTTCTCTGTACATTTCCTAAGTTAACCCTATAACTCCCAAGATCTGATTGTTAATTCTCCCCTGTAGCTGCTATACATTTCCTTGTAAATTAGTTACGAGAACTTGGTGCCACAGTAGCTCAAGATAGCAACCTCTACCTGATAAGTTTGAATTTTCTCATTACTTGTTTGCTGAAGAATGTATGGATATTGTAGGGAGAAGTTTTATGTTAATCACTTCTGGGAGTTAAAGGGTTAATGACAAGGAGACTGTACAACAATCAAGAGCTTCTTTAGCTGGTGATCATTTCCTTTATTTTAGGGACTTTAATGAGTGATTTAGGGGTGATATTGCAATGAGAAATTAGATGCTGGTCACTCTTAGGGGTGAATGGATTGTTACTCAATGTCACTGTTTGTAGTTTGTTTTGATGTGATGATAATGATGACATTAATTTTTCTAGCATTGAAACAAAGATGGCGTTTACACATACAGATGGAGTTTGCCACCACTGTGCACAGTGGGCTCTTGCTCCTCAACGGACGGTATGATGGAAAACACAACTTTATTGCCGTGGAGGTGTGGCAAGGACAAGTTTGGTTCAGGTTTTCACTTTTTTCCCACGAAGTTATTGTTACATCAAATGTAAATGGTGGTGTCATTGATGGCAATTGGCATAAAGTAGAAGTGGCATTTCAGAACAGGGTAAGAATCATTTTGGGAAAAAAATTTCCAAATTTTATATGAATTCCATTTTATTTGTGTATATGCACATGAATGTGAATTACATTTTATTTCATCAAGAACCTTTTATACCATGTAAGTCTTCTGTTCAGTTAACCCTTTAACTCCCAAGATCTGAGTGTCAATTCTCCCCTCTAGCTGCTGTTCATTTTCTTTAAATTAGTTACAAGAATCTGGTAGTATCAGGTCAAGATAACAACTTTGAGTATTCTCGTTACCTGTGTAATGGATAATGTTTGGATATTATAATTACATGTTTGTTACTTGTGGGAGTTGAAGGGTGAAGGAGGCAATGAGAAATTCAATTTATTTTGTATCACAGTCTGTTACTTTTTTTCTGGTACTTTACAATTTGCAAAGTTCTGAACTAGATGTTACTTTAAATTTGTAAACTAAACTGACATGTACCTACAGGTAAAGTGTAAAACTACAGATTGGAGCTTTTCTAGAGCAATATTCACATAATGGTTTCAATATGTTTATGAGTGTCCTGTGATTTTGTGGCTTAAACATTTTTACTCTAAAGGTTATATGTATTTTTGGTGGCCAATAGCCTGTAGACAACTCTTGTATAATTTGAGGGTAAATATGTTAACTTCAGTTGTTAAGATTCAAGTGTTGAGGGTCATGTCTCAAATGTATCTGACCATTCACATTACCATGGTATTTGCTGGTTGCACAATTGTGTGTTTGGTTGCTCAATATCAGAAAAAAAATGGCCAAAAATTGTATTATTTATGGAATTGTTTACTGATTTGAAGAGTGCAGTTTTGGAGTGGTGTATGTTACACAATACTTTTCATTTGACATTCCTTACAATGCACAAATTCCAATCATTTAAATTGATTAGAGAGCCTTATCTCTTAGAGTTGAAAATTGTTTTTTTTAAGGAACAATTTCATAAAATCACGCACTCAATCTTGGTTAAATTTCACTGTATGGAAGCCAAAACCTGATAAAAATCTAAAACATATGTTTTTCATCAGTGATTAAACAAACCACCCAAAAGACATGATCAACTTTGCAATTATCTGCTTCTCTGTGCTAATATTTTGATAGATATTACAGGACTATTTTATAGAGCATCTCAATTAGGGTAAAACTCTTGACTTCAAGAAAATTTTCATGAAAAACAACACTTGCCCTTTTTTCCTCTTGATCATCCATTAAAAAAAAAAACAACAACAACAACTCCACGCAAGATTTTAATATGAAAACCATACTGATGTAGACAACTTCATTGATAACCTCTGAACTTAAAGAAAGTCAAAATGGAAAGGAATGAAGATAAAATTAATATTTCCTTCTCAGATCAATAATCCAAAAAAAATCAGGGATTAAAGGGTCAAAGAAGGACAGCAAAAGTAATAAGAAGGAAATAAAAAGAACATTATGGGGATAGCAGTAAACACATACAGTACATATACTTCAGTATGTATGAGAGAACATCAGAAATGGGAATCCAAAGGTTGTAATTTCAACTCTGAGAATTCAGAGTGCTTTTAGTCTAAGTATGAATGCAATGATGAATACATCATCTTTCACATAAATGAGTGTTCCTGTAATCTGGAACATTTTAAAACTAGGAATCAAATGAGCATAAAATAGTTACAGGATGAGGTCATGTTACAATGATATTGTGCACATCATTTATTTCATTCTTTGTGCTAAAAAATGGCATGTGATTAACCATACATAATTATTAGAAGTGATTTAGAAGTGATAAACATGTAACTTCTCCCTGTGGTATCCATACATAATTATTAGAAGTGATTAACATGTAACTTCTCCCTATGGTATCCATAATGTATTAAAAATTAATTGAAGAAGATCCATAAACATTAAACACTTTGAATTATTTCTCTTCTATGGTATCCATACATAATTATTAGAAGTGATTAACATGGTATCCATACATAATTATTAGAAGTGACTTAACATTAACTCATCTATCACATCCATAACATAATTATTAGAAGTGATTAACATGTAACTTCTCCCTATGGTATCCATACATAATTATTAGAAGTGATTAACATGTAACTTCTCCCTATGGTATCCATACATAATTATTAGAAGTGATTAACATATAACTTCTCCCTATGGTATCCATACATAATTATTAGAAGTGATTAACATGTAACTTCTCCCTATGGTATCCATACATAATTATTAGAAGTGATTAACATGTAACTTCTCCCTATGGTATCCATACATAATTATTAGAAGTGATAACTAACATTAACTTCTTGGTATCCATACATAATTATTACTATGGTATCCATACATAATTATTAGAAGTGATTAACATGTAACTTCTCCCTATGGTATCCATACATAATTATTAGAAGTGATTAACATGTAACTTCTCCCTATGGTATCCATACATAATTATTAGAAGTGATTAACATGTAACTTCTCCCTATGGTATCCATACATAATTCTGCAAACAGGTAATAAGAATACTCAGACTTATCAGTTACAGTTGTCTTCTTGATCTAACACCAAATCCTTGTAACTACAACTGTAATTTAAAAGGGAATGTGTAGCAGCAAGAGGAGAGAATTAACAATCACATCTTAGGAGTTAAAGGGTAAACTGCTATGTACATATATTGGAGGGTTTTGACCCTTTCATCAAACAACACTTTCACCTTTACCTGTAACCCTTTAACTCCCAAGATCTCATTAATAATTCTCCTTACTGTCTGCCATACAGTTCTTCTGAAGCTAGTTTGGGGAATTTGGTAATGGATCAAGTTATCCTAATTAAGATTTTTTTTTTCATCATGTGTCTGCTTGATATTGTATTGATATTGTAAGGAGAAATTCTGTCTTGGTCACTCATGGGAGTTAAAGGGTTAACCCCCTGTTACAATCCAGTATCCCAAGTTATCTTGTGTTTTACTTTGATGATCTCAGAGTTAGTCTTCACTTTATATTGAAAAAATTTAATACATACAAGGATAAGTAACCCTTTTTTGAAGTGTTTTTTACCCAGTAAATCATTTTTTTCTTTTTTCAGACTGGCATTATCATTGTTGACAACTGTAAACTTGCAGTGGCAGTGAATTTTGGGACCAATGCAGCCTTCTTCCCATGTGCCGCAGCACAGCAACTTCAAATTAAAGATGAATTGGAAAATTACAGGTACATTTTTATGTGAATGCACACCATCAGAGAGGCAGAGTGGCTGAGTGCTTAGGGTGCTGGCCAGGTGCTTAGGGTGCTGGCTAGGTGCTTAGGGTGCTGGCTAGGTGCTTGGGTGCCAGCCAGGTGCTTAGGGCACTTGCCAAGTGCTAAGGGGACTGGCCAAGTGCTTAGGGCGCTGGACTTGTAATCTGGTGGTCCAAGGGTGTAGTTCTCCACTCAGCTACTTACTGGATTTGTTTTCAGTTACCCTGAGTTCCACTCACTGGCTTTGCTCTGTTTGGCTGCCTTTTACTAGTTGGGAATCTTAAAAACTGTGTTGATGTTTATTTACTATGTTTATTTCCAATTTGTTTTTACATATATTGGAGGGATTTAAGGGTTTTTACCCTTTGACCCTTTCACCTTTACCTGTAACCCTTTAACTCCCAAGATCTCATTAACAATTCTCCTTACTGTCTGCCATATAGTACTTCTGAAGTTAGTTTGGGGAATTTGGTAATGGATCAAGTAATAATCCCCAATTAAAATTTTTCCTATTCTCATCACTTGTCTGCTTGATATTGTATTGATATTGTAAGGAGAAATTCTGTCTTGGTCAATCATGGGAGTTAAAGGGTTAATCCCCTGTTAAAATCCAGTATCCCAGAGTTAGTCTTCACTTTATATTGAAAAAATTTAGTACATACAAGGGTTAGTGACCCTTTTTTGAAATGATTTTTACCCAGTAAATCATTTTTTTTTCTTTGTTTAGACTGGCATTATCATTGTTGACAACTATAAACTTGCAGTGGCAGTGAATTTTGGGACCAAAGCAGCCTCCTTCCCATTTGCTCTAGCACAGCAGCTTCAAATTAAAGATGAATCGGAAAATTACAGGTACATTAAATTTTTTATGTAAATGCACGCCATCAAGAAAGACCCAAGGAGTAGGCAGAGTGGCTGAGTGCTAAGGGTGCTGGCCACCTGCTTAGGGACTTGTCATCCTGTTGTCCCAGGTTGTAGTTCTCCACTCTGCTACTCACTGGATTTGTTTTCAGTTGCACTGAGTTCCACTCGTTGGCTTTGCTCTGTTTAAAGCCAATTTGTCTGCCTTTTACTAGTTGGGGTTCTTAAAAACTGTGTTGATGTTTATTTACTATGTTTATTTCTAATTTGTTTGAATTAATTATTTCTAAAATTTGTAAGCAAATTCAGAATAGAGAAATAATTTACATCATATGAACTGTTAATAGTGTTATTATTATTATTATTATTATTATTATTATTATTATTAATTGTCATTATTATTGTAATTATTAATTATTGTTATTATCATCAGAGGTTTAGGTATTTATAAGCGGGTCAATACATGCAATAATTTTAGTATAGTGGGTGACCTTTATTGTAAGATGTTTTTGACATGTTCTTGACCCCAAGCAGTGATTTTTTTGTCAGATTACTTATGTCAAACTGCTGTTGGAGCTCTCGTTTTTGGGAGTCAAAGGGTCAACTGTAATCTTGAGGGCTAGAACTTCCTGATCAGTGTGCTTTGATCACAAGTGTACACTTTTTGCAGTACTTGACCTATACATAATAATAGATATCTACTTACTTTTTAAATTCTCAAAGTCGTGTATGGAATGTTTTCGTGTTTGGAATAAAAAGCAAACTGCAAATAGCAACACTGTGATTTTTTTTTTTTTTTTAGCTCCTTGGATCTGACAGGCCCTCTTTTTCTCGGTGGGCTCGTGCAGCTACCAGTTAAATTCCCAGTCCTCTACAAACATTTCACTAGCGGCATCAGAAATGTTTACATCGATCACAAGTTCTTGGACCTCAGTCAGCCATTGTACAACAACGGAACCAGTGCTAAATGTAAAGCAATGGGCAACACGTACGCATATAAACCTTGCAAGCGAGGCACGTGTTTTAACATACTTGGTTCTCGCCGGTGTGACTGCTCCACTGGGTTTGATGGAAGTCGCTGTGAAACAGGTATTGAATTATTCTTTATGGATATGTAAGTGAACTTTCCTCTGGCACTTACTTTAGTTTGAAGCGTTCGGAAGAGTACGGAATCTTTTGGAATCTTTTCAAATGCTTGGTATCTATAGTACCGCTCGCGTATACGTTAACTGCGCAGACGAATTTCATGCGCTCTGAAGCAGGGTAGTCAGACGCGTATATACGATTTTTTTGCGCGCACGGTCGAAAAAAAAATGCGCGATTCACGTGTCTCTGTTATTCAGTGCTATAAGTTTCTTTTGTATTTCATTGTTGTATGAAACAAAGGACTTCAAGGTTTGAAAAAGCGGCGAGAAGACAACGGAAAATTTACATAATGAAAAAAAGCTATCATGTTACACTCGCGCAAGTCGCGTCGCTTCGCGAATTTTTCGCATAACGAGCAGTAGCAGTAGATTTGCTTGATTTGAGTTGTTGATGAATCAGCTGGGGAAAGAAAATGTCACTTGCTTAAGGACTACCTCATACATACTAATGAGGCTGATGTCTAAAAGTCGTGCGCGCACGTGCGATTTTTTGACGCGCACGATTTTTTTATTCGAAATTGCATGCGATTTTTTGCGCGTTTAATTCGCGTTTTTCGGTTGACGTATACGCGAGCGGTACTGTAAGATGCAGACAACAGTTCATGAGTTGTGCATGATAAAGACACCTTATGAGCATTTAAATTTATGCGGTTCCTTGTTATGAGAAATATATCGTTGAGTTTATCTGATTCAGTGGATCTTCAATTAATAAATGCACGTACTTAATCACCGGTATTTTCGCCTTGAATTATAGATCCATACCAGATTTTGACCCGACAGTTCTGAGAAAAGAGCGAAAAATCAGTTTTACTGTACATCTGACGAAGATCTGCCGGTTTCAAAAACCCTGTGAACAATCCTCAGATTTGAAAGATTCCCTTTTTTAACGTTAAGGGCCGAGTTCCTCAAATACTGTCTTCTGTTGTGTCAGCAATTTCTGTTTCTTAACCCTTTCACTGCCAAGATATCATTGTTAATTCTCCTTACTGTCTGTCAGACAATTCTTATGATGTTAGTTCTGAGGATTTAATATTGGATCAATTGATAATTCCTTAATTGATATTTTTTCTTTATTCTCGTCGCTGGTCTGCTTGTCTGCAATTCTTACAATATTAGTTTAGAGAATTTAGTATTGGATCAGCTAGCTATCCCCGAATTGATGTTTTTCTTTATTCTCATTGCTTATCTGGTTGATATTGTATTAATTTTGTAAGGAGAAATACTGTCTTGGTCACTCATGGGAATTTAAGGGTTAAATCGGAGAGAAATTATCCAGGACTCCAGTTAGCGTTGATTTTCTGGGAGTCACGTTACCCTAAAATACCCCAACTAAGGAGAACGTCAATTTCTTATCACGGGTTCTTATATGGAAACCATTCATACAAACTTCCTTGTTCAACAGGTGTGAAATACACAGAGAGATTCTCAGGACAGAGTTTTAGGAGGGTGCCTGCCAACTCAAAGGTCAATCTTCCGTGGAGTGTTTCAATGAGATTCCGCACAGCCAAGCCTTCAGGAACTCTGCTTTTTCGTCATCATCTTCGGTGTCGGAGGTAAGTTATGTAAATCGAGGTATATGTTTTAAAAGTCATTGTACGTTCTTATACTTACGTGAACTTCGTTGCTATTTCAGTTGTTTGATGGTAAACTGTAATACAACTACAGAGGGCTGTTGGTTCTCCAATTGCCTCACATAGCGGTGAATGATACCCAGTGGCATCACATTGAGATCCTCTGGACAGATTCTTCCCTTAACATAACAATGGACTACATCTGCAAAGTCTCTGCAAATTCATCCAGTGGAAAACACCTTGGAGTTGTCAGACAGTTTTTCATGGGAGCGAGGAAGAATTCTACCAAGTCTGCAGTGTATGGTGGATTTAGAGGCTGTATACAAGGTATGCTTTTCTAACAAATTCCTCTAGTTAAACTGTTAGGTTTATGTTTCTGTAGCCTGCTATAGGTATTAGATTAGCAGCAATGCACTGATTGATTTTCCGAAGCTTGGAGTGCAATTTGGTGTTAATACGCTCGAGTAAATTTTTCAATACCACAAAATTGCACGAGCTGTGGGGCAAGTGAACTTTGTAGTCTTTGAAAAATTTATAATTTCTTATTACACCAAATTGCATGATCAATCATGTTATTACTTGTTAATAATTTACATGAAAAAACATCACAGAAAGGCAAGACAGACTAAACGTTAGGTTTGGAGTGATAGTGTGAGTGCGTATGTGCGTGCGCACGTGCGTGTACGTGTGCGAGCAGGTGCGTTCAAGCGCGTGCATGTGTGTTCGTGCGTGCTTGTTTATGTAGTAAGGGTTGGAACTGTGCTATTGGAGTGAGCATGGCAATAGTGGATGTATGAATATTAGGCCATTTCCGACTACTTTTTCGTGAAAATAGCTTCGTTTGCAAAATAATTTCTTTCCTATGAGAAATATAGTATCTAGGCTCGTTTTAAAACAGAGGCTGAGGCCTCTCGGAAATGGTCCACCTCGGCTACCCGTTTATATGAGGAGACACTAACCTCTCTCTTTCCCTATCCGTAGGGATTTTTGTCGGGAGCACTGAGATCAACATGAACTCTGGAGTCAATCACAAAACAGCATCCATCTGGTTGTGAAGAGAAAATAGGACGCCACTGCTCATCGAACCCTTGACCAGACTACAGCACGTGTCAAGAGGAATTCGACTCTCACAAATGCACATGTCCTGTAGGTTGCGTTGGTAAACACTGCGTGCGCGTATGTTCTCTTAAGCCGTGCTGACATGGCAAATGTGATAGTTCAAACCATGGAAAGGGATTCCGATGTGTTTGTCCTCAACAGTACACTGGTTAGTGGATTTTTTTTTTCATTTTTTCTTTTCTTTTTCTTTTTTTTTTCATTAAATAAAAAAAATCTCAATGATTTGCGGGCGAACTGGTACTGGTGATTAGGCGCGAACTTGTTGTGGGGCGAATTCACCAGTTAACGATATGCAACGCAAATCTCTCACTGTTGAACTTAAGATTCACTTCAATTAAGAGTTTTAATGTTTTGTATAATTTCTTAGGGGAATTTTGTGAGGTTCGCATGGAGATACCCTGTCGAGATAAGTACTTTGGTGCTTCAAGTATAGGCGTCTGTGGTCCGTGTAAATGTGAAGTGGGGATGAATCTGAGTCCAGTTTGTAAAGGTCTACAGGAGAGTGCTACTGTAATGTAAGTACCAAATGGAAGAAGCTTATCAGATGAAGTTTACTAAAACCGTGGAAAGTTACGAGAGTCCAAACCAGGGGAAAAAACTAGAGCAGTTTTTTGTTTTTCCATATGAAGTCAGGAGAACGAGGAAAAAATCGATGGGGGAAAAAGCGATAATGCAGAAAACAAATGAACAAATAAAGAAAAGACTCCTTAATCTACCATTATGGACTTGAGCGGGAAAGGAGAATTGTTTTCAGTCTGGGGGGACATAAAGTTTTTTGTGTGTGTGCTTTTACATTTCGTCGAAAAGAACAGGTTTTTTTACCGATTTGTTTGCGATTTGCATCATTCTTTATATGATTGGTATGGGAAACAGGTCAGACATTAGCTACCAAGACGCAGTTTTTGTGTGTGTGCTTTTACATTTCGTCGAAAAAGAAGTTTTTATTCAGAAAAGTGCATTGTATGGGCGATGTGTCTGAAAGAAAGCCACTGAATGGCTCTCTTGTGGTCTTGCATTTTTCGTCGCCTGTAAACCGCGCCTACTGCTCTAGAATTCAGTTCTGAATCTAATGTGTCTTTCATTCACTTGTTACGCAACTGGTAATCGGTGCTTTTTTTAAAATTTTTACTCGTTTTGTTTTTGTCCAGGCGAAGCACTATCGAAAGATTGTAAGCTATACATTCTCGGGTGCCCCTCTGTTTAGTGATGGCTGTTTTAGATGTGACTGTGAAGAGATTGGTAGTACTTGTGATCAGTGTGCTGCAGAGAATGGCCAGTGCCCTTGTCTTAAAGGCCGAAGGGGAGGGAAGAATGTGGTCGGGAGGCGTTGTAATCAGTGCGAAGACAAACAGGGTCAGATTGTGAGTGGTGGAGGCTGTGTGGGTAAGTGAGATTTTACGTAACTTGAACGCGTTGCAAACGCGGTGAAAATGCGTTTGTATGCGTATTTAATGCGTTTTAAATGGGTTGCGTTGTGCGTGTAAGGTGTTGACAGTGCCTATGAAACACGCTTCAACCCGTTCAAAACGCGTCTTTATTGCAGGTGAAATGCGTTTGCACGCGTTTAAAACAGGCGCATAGACATGCATTAACTCCACTGCAGAGAAACAGATCTTTTTCAGTCTTGTCAAATAGGGAAGAATCCCCATTTTTCCAATTTCCTACTTGGAAAAGGAAATTGGTTGAATTGTCAGAAAGTCGTGTGTTTGGTAACATTTCTTTCATGAGAAAAGAAAGTTAATTTTAATTCCTCTTTTCGAGAGTTTTTTAGAAACAGTTTGCACGAGAAATCGTGAGTCTTCTGTACACATAACTAACAATGATTTGCATTTGTTAAATTATTATTGTTGGTATTATTATTATTACTATTACTATTATTGCTATTATCATAATTATATTATTTCACCACATGAAAGGAAGATATCTCGAACAGCATTCGTAATGTTACCTCTTTTTATTTATTTATCTACGTATGATTTGTTTATTAAAACCGGGAAATGAGGAACTCTAGAATTAATTTTATTTGTTTGTATTTAATAGTTATTAACACATCATGTCCAAGAGCATTTGCTGAGGAAATATGTTGGAAGAAAGCCGCGTTTGGGACAACAGCAAAAGAAAAATGCCCATTCGGATCATCGGGTTTGTGTTTTGATTAACTTAACTTTTTTTGAAAATTTTGTGATCTCAGCATCTATGCCGACGTTTTTTTAAACTTGTTGATGAAATGTTGTATAAGAAGGTAATTGTTTATATCATGTTATATCTATGTTAAACCATACAATTTCTAGTTTTAGTTTTTCTCGTAGTCAGTCGTTTTGCCGATTAGTCATTATTTTATATATGTATTTGTACTGCTTTGAAGGCCGTAAGTTAGATAAATCATTGGGTTAATTTCGTCAACTTCGTTAAATAAAGAATATTGTATTGTAAACTCAAGTAAGTGAACGAAATCCTTCGAGCGCTTCTTTGATGTGTTACTAAACAAGGCATTTACCACTGTTAAGTCAGTGAATAAAACCAAGTTACGTGATATTCACGAACTTTTGAGCAGTTCCTCATTAGTATTGCGTTTCTTCACCCGCGGGAAAGTATGAGGCCGTAAGCGACGCAAGTAGGAGAGAGGTGTGGAACGAGTTTTACGCTGAAAATAACATTATTAGCGCCAGACTTCCGGCAAATCTCTTCCCGAGGCGTCTCAAATTTTCCCGCCGGTGGAAAAACGCGCGTCCTGCAGCGCTGATCATGAAGGCGTGCTCGAAAGCTAGGTTTTCACGTGAGAAGGTAGATTTGGAGTCTGTGCTTTAAACACGAGTGTGGGTGATGATTCAGGTGAGAGTAACATAGCAGCACAAGCCTGCAGTAATGTTTAATGTTCTGCGCAACTTGTGTAGTTTTAACTCCCAAGTTCGCGGATTCAACCACAATTTGAGATCACTAGAGAGAACGTTTGTGATTAATGCTTTTCTTTCGTTCTGCTGAGTCATGCTTTGTCGATATCTTGTTATTAATTTACGTTATCAGCTCAGTTGATAATATTAAATTACCCTTGTGTCTTTTGTAGTTAAAAAATTTGACGTCTGGAAACGTCGACTGGAAGCCAGATTTCGCCCTTGGTATATATATAGGACAGCGGTTAGATCTTGCCATCACGTTATCCCCTCAACTGTACGCCAGAGACATAGAAATCGCACTGACGATTATCACCACTCTGTTTGGATACGAGAGTCAACAAAACTCCAGCACGCTTGTTTCAGCCAAGACCAAGGAGTTTGCGAAGGTGCGAAAGTTATAGAAATTTATGCAGAAACCGCATAATTTCCATCTCAGTCATTTTAAAGTAAAGATATAGTACTTACCGCAGTTTGAGCATCCAAGGGGATTGTATTCTTTGGGTAGTTGTCTTAAAATGAGCAGAACATTCGACTTAGTGGCCCGGCCTAAACAAGGCGTGACGCCGCCGACTTCAGCTCATTTGGCGGGAATCGAAACGCTCCCACCTCAAGCAACGATCCCGTCATGCCTAGCTCTTAACTCTTTGACCCCTTAAGAATGACTAGCATCTAATTTCTCCCTACGATATCATCCCTGAATCAAATATTACGGTCATGAGAATGAAGGAATTGATCACCAGTTAAGGAAGCTCTTGATAGTTTAACAAATTCTCCTTGTCAGGACCTTTGGGGTACCCTGATAGGGTTAACTGTTCAAACATTGCCTGCATTTTTTCCACTTTCAAAGGCAGACCTCCTCGCGTGAGGAAGACCTGTTGAATCAGAAAACGCGTTCACTGTCTTATCTGCGTAAGTTTTCGTGGCGGAGGTAATAGTTGTATAGTGTCTGCATTTCCCATTTCTTGCCAAGTCACAAGAAACCCACGGTCAAGAAGTGAAATTGTGACTAAGAGAGCTGTTTCGAAATGATGACATGACACAACGTACAAACTTTTAGGACGGGAAAATCCACTTTTAATTCAAGTGTGCAGCTGCGAATGTGCAGAGGAAGTTCACTGGTCAATTTTTTCACCCTGAAGAGTGACTAGCATTTACTTTTTCCTTACAATATCAGCCCTGAATGACAAAATAAGGTCATGAGAATAATGGAAATGATTAACAACAACAGAAGCTCAGGATCGTTGAACCAATTCTCCTTGTCGGCACCTTAGGAATTGTAAAGAGAACAGTATGGAGAATATGCATACTGATGGTAGGGTGTAAAGGGTTAAAGAAAGTTTTGCCAGAGAACGCAACCAAGAGAGTAGTTTACGGATCAAAACCGACTTTTCGATCCGGAATCCCTTGCGCTTACAATTTCTGCCTATCTCAAGAACAACAACTTAAGTTATAATTTGATATGATCCACAGGTCCTTCTTCAGTCAGCCAGAACGCTGTTTAGCTCCGATAACAAAGATGTGTGGGACGTCGTTCAACAGGTAATAATTATTGGATCAATATCTGAGCACTTACCCTTCCCCCGACCCAAGAACGTTCAACTAATAACAAGTTAGTGTTGGTTTTTGGCTAAGGGAAGGGTAGGTGTGCAGTTGCGCAGGTACTGACCTTGATCCGAATTATTTTTATTGTTGTTGTTTTTTTTTTTGGCAAATAATCCACGGTCGATTTGTCGCCGGTTTTTATTTCACTATGCTCTCCATTTGGCCTGTGAAACTCGCGCCCTTTCATCCAGTCGCTTTACTGCAAACAGAAGCCAATAATGAAGTGTTAACTGTGATCATCACACTTATTCAGAATGCACGCTACTACTAAGATATATTCAGATGTCTGTGATCATCGCAGTAATCTTTAGTATTAATCTTTTCCGCTTCGGTTCCAGTTTTCAAAAATAATATCAACGTTCGTTCTGTTGACTTGCCCAAACCGTTGACATGCGCAATCCGTAGCAAACGTGGGCGGACGTCAGCTACCAAGACGCAAGTATTAATAGCTGATTGTGATAGTGCATGAAAAAGCACACAAAATTTTTCTTTGAATTAATTTGAATATTGCTCCTAGAAACGAATGACCAGTGGATTGTGACCTCCTTGTTTATATTGACACGAGAAAAAAAAACAGATGGAAAACTTCAGCGGAAACTTGGCTAGAAGTTTACCGCACTTAAAACGAGACTCGCACAGATACAGTCGTTGTACCGAAAGCATTTTGCCCCCGTACACGATTATTACTCTCGATATTGGTAAGAAATATATTTTGTTGAGTTTGCTGTGTCTCTTGGCATTGTCTCTTTGCAGGCTAAAGAGGCCAAACATTCTGGAGTGAAGGAAGATTTGACCTTAACTAACCGGTCAAATGTAAGTACTGCCACTGATAAATGGTGGCAAGTAATGCGAAGTAATTATGTTCGCTTATTTTACCTTGCAGAACATCAACCAATGCCCTCTTCTTATACCTCACACTACCAATCACGTTCTCCACCACACTGTTACCAATCAAATGCTTCTAATTGTGGTAGCAATAAAGAAAACGATTTGCTCAGTTGTCAAGTTTGTTTGTCTAGTATTGACCTTGTGACTTGTGCAAGCAGCAGAGGTCTGACAGAATCAGTGTTGTGTGCACTAAAACCTGTTTTCTGTAAACAGTGCAACACTCGCTTTGCTAATAACCTATCATTGTCGTCTCATTTAAAGTTCATGAGACTTCATTTAAATGCCACTGAGGTAAGAAGTGTAGCTATCAAGCCAACTTTGATGACAGTACCTAGTTTAAAGGAAGCTTTACGTAGTAGAGGATTAAGCACTGCAGGTACTAAGGAAATTCTAGTTAAGCGCCTTGAAGGTGCATTGGCTGGGGAGGGGTAGTTGAATTATTTTTTAATCAACAGTTTAAATCTCCCAAAATATTTGATTTGAGAGTTATTTTTCTTGGTCAAGTTGGTGCACAATAAGGCATACTTGTTATGAGAATGATAACTTGGCTCTCAACAAATTCTGTGTACCAGTAATGTGAGTATTATACCTACATCATAAGAAAAATATATTTAAATTGGTGCAATTTTTTTAAAATTAGCTATGTTTGTCAGAGAGGTTAAACCTGTCCAAATGCAAAAGTACTGTTGTCACTGATATCACTTGGTATACACTGATATATTACATATAAAACTTTATATACCCATTATTTTTTTACCGACTTGCATTTTAGAGGCAGGGTTTCTGCTCTAATGAATTTATGGAATTTTGTACTTAAAGGTTTGAGCACTTGACCCTTTACATGCTAACAACAGCATGAATATTCTCTATACTGTTCTCAATATATTTAACGAGGTGTTGACCAGGAGAATTTGCTAAACAATCAAGAGCTTCATTAGTTAATAATTCCCTCATTCTTGTGACCTTATGTTTAATTTGGGGTTCATATTGTAAGAAGAAATTAGATGCTAGACATTGTAAGGGGTCAAAGGGTCAATAACTAATGACCCAGCATTTTGGTTATGTTGACACAATACATTTGTTTAAGGAATGGTTTGTCTTAAATAAAAGGTACAAGAATTTGCAGCTTGATAGTTTTAAGAGTAAGATGAAGTATACACAGATAAATGAAATTTGTATCTAAAAGGAGTAATTCTGTATACTGATAGGATAATTTCATAAATGAATCAGACATCATTGTTAGTCAAATAATAAAAAAGCTTTCAGCTGTTATGTTTGGGTAAAACCATACTTCTATTTATTTACTCCAATGTATTACAGTCTACAAGGTACGAAGATTAAATTTTAAAATATCTGCTCGTGTTAAAAACATGTTTCCCTCAGAACTTTGTTTCAGATTACATTCAGGGTTGTCATTCTTTTGATGTATGAAGTTTCCTGACAAGGTCTAACAAAACATTAGCAACTCCTACTGTTAATTAACTGTCAAGCTAGATAGTGTTCAAATTCAATAGCTTTTGCAAATTTGAGTCCTTTGCAAATCCTTCTCGATCATAGCGCTGCACGCAAAATGTGGTTACGACCCTTTGTTGTTTTGTTGACTAAACCATTTGCAGCGGCGTAGTTTGTGTAACAACAACAATTGACCTGCCGCTATAACCCTAAGGTCTCTCATCCCGTAATTAGGTTTATTTTCTGCGAAACGAACCCTCCTCAACTATTCTTTCTCCGTAGAGAACTTCATCTCTACGGAGTTGGTATTCCAAAACCTGTCTCCTCTCTCTGTTTCATCCTCCATGCCGAAGTGCCTTAAACAGAGTTTGTTTGATGTGCTCGCGCTCTCATTATTAGCCGCCATTTTTGAAGTAGCCTTTACTTTTCGTGCCAACTGCCGCTGACGATTTCTGCGCCAGCGCGCATCAGAGT